TAATATATATTTTATATAAAAATTAAATACTTATTCATTAATGTTTAACTTCAGGGAAAAAGATTGAATAGAAAATATATTTTATTTCTTTCACATAATAATTAATTTTAAGCTTTTTAAATTTTCTATCATTTTACAGAGTCATTTGTTAATAAAAGACTCGGCGCAGTGTGAAGTGTTTATTTTAACTTTCTTAAATGGGAACATGGCTGCAATTAATTTGTCTAACAGGTAGAAAGAAAATATATTCAGCCTCATTATCCTGTAAATGAATAAAGCTTCAAATATTATCGTTCCGAAATTTACGCGAATATCAACTTAATGAAACATAAATAAAAAGAAATTTTTAAAATTTTATGTTAATGTGATTTCTTTACATATAAAACCTAATTTACGTCAACCTTAAAATTACTTTTAATTACAATTTCGATTGGTTGCATCGCCCCACTTTTGTCATATATCAGCTTCAGACAAAAGGTGTGTTTTTATATCTTGGACAATCAATGAATATGCAAAAAAAGTACATGAAAATTGCAGTTAAAATATTATTTTAAGGTTTTAAACCAAAATAATAATAACAACAATAACAACTTATTAAATAAATAAGATATACAATTTTAAAACAGGAATAAAACTTTACTTTACTAAATAAAATATTATATTCGACTATTATATTTTCTTATTTGTTTAGAGCCAGCGGTTCTTAAGTGATGTACTGCCAACTTTACATAAGAGTGCTACAAAATTTCGTCTTTGTTGCGACAATGGTCTGTTGGTGTGCTAACAAAGATGGCGAGTTGTGTCGCTAGTTTAAAAAAAGGTCGAGAACCACTGACTTTTCACGATATTACAATATAATATCTATTTTTCTTCATTTTTTTATTATACATTAAGGATTCCGCAGATGTGTAAAAAGAGTTTTAAGTTTGCATAACAATATTTTATATATTTTAAAATTGAAGTAAATTAATTAATCTTTACAAAAATATAATCACTGTTTTGATCAATTTTTTTAATACAAAGATTAATTTTATTTTGCAATATTTATCAGTTTTCTCCAATATTTAGATGTCAGGCATTCAAAATTTTGTATTTTAAAGAATAATGATTTTTTAAGCATTGAAGATTTCAAACTGTTTATTTAGGCATCATTCTTTCTCAAATTTAACCATTACTTAAAGATTATAAATAACACTCATAACAAAATTAACATTCGATAATTTCACTTGATTCTAGTTTATTTTTTACATCAATCGTTTTAGAATTAATTCATGTTCTAAACGCTAATATATTCAATTAACATTATTAAAAATACTCTAAAATACAAACTTTACGTAATTGCTAATACAGTTATTATGATTAATTTTTAAAAAAGTTTTTGAAGTATTTTCAAACTTAAATTAATTACGTGAAATAAAAAAAAAGACTTACTTCTCTGCTCATTTTTTCAGAGAATTCTTCTTTTATGTATAATGAAGCAAGAGCATAGCCGAAACCATCATTGACTAAATGAACGCACTCTTTCCAACGTGCAAAGAAAGTTCTTTCATCAGACAAATTTGGCACTTCTCGTCGAAAGTCATAATAAAGCCTCCGAAAGTGAATATCCAGATAGGGCATGTATTTCGTGACAAATCTCCAAGCCAAATAATTAGCAACGGTTCTGAAGTAACACAGTAAACACATACGAAATTCATAAATGAAGTAATTTTTTTTTTTTCGATTTTTTCGAAAATTATTTACCTGCTGGAAGTATTATTGAGAAGTACGACTAACTGCTTCAAGTAACGTTCGCAGTGAACTACAATATTTAAATCTGTATAATCTGATTGAAATCCTATATAATTGAATACATATTGGACTAGTAAAGACCATCTAATCTAAAGAAAAAATACAAATAAATAAAATCAAATAGAATAATAATAATTGATGTAGATGTGGTTGCTGTATCTTCAAATTCTGTGTGTAGTGTCTTTGTAATCCAAACGTTAATACAAATAAATAAAATCAAAAACAATAATAATAATTGATGTAGATGTGGTTGCTGTATCTTCAAATTCTGTGTGTAGTGTCTTTGTAATCCAAACGTTAATTTTGGTAGACGATCAAACAGCAATTAGTTAGGAAAACGTTACGGTTTATTTAAAAGAACGCTTTTTTAAATAAACTGTAACGTTTTCCTAACTAATTGCTGTTTGATCGTTTACCAAAATTAATGTTTGGATTACAAAGACGCTACACACAGAATAATAATTGAGTTCAACAATTTTGTTTATTAAGTTTTATTCGTTTAAGTACAAAATATCACATTTTCTTTGGTATCAAGATAATAAAAAAATACACAAATAGCGTTACTGAATTGATGTCGCAGTCGTACATGCCTAGTCTTAAGACAGGCATTACATTTAAACTAGGCATGGTACATATTCTGAATAAATACAGAATAAACTTAAAATTTAATTTCTCGTAGTTATTCTTAATTTATGATGAAATATAATATATTTTTAAACAGTGCAAATCATGATACTTTCACATTTGTGGATTTTTAAAAATTTTACATTAATTAAATTATACCAAATTCAGGATGATCAGTTTATGATAAAACACTTTTGGTTCAAGAACTTCATAATCTATTAAATTTAGTAATTAGAATCAAAGTATTTCTTACNATATGCAACTCTTTTTTTTCAGTTTACAGCAGTATTTATTACACAAAATTTAAGTAAAGCTTAACATGCCGATCTTGCCCCGGTCTCCCCTATATATATATAGGCCTAATTAAACGTGAAAATCTGTTTTCAATGAACAAAAATTAATGAAAATTGTAATTATTGTTTAATATTTCTAAAATGTTGATAATTTTATTAAAAATTACATAAAAATTTTGAATTCTGAGAATTTTTATAATAAATCTTTCAAGACTTATTGTAATAGCTTTGTTTGTTTGTGATCAGTAAAAAAATGTAATTAAAAATATGAAAATAACATTAAATCTCACATTAAAAACTAGTAAGAATAGAACGATTATATCTTATGCAAGAAAATACAGTAATAATAAGTGATATAACAAAAGTATGAAGTCAGATGTCATGAGATCTGAGATTTTTTTTTTTGGTAATTTCAGATTAAAAGCGGAATTGATTAATTAACGTTAAAATGTAAGTTAATATAATGCTAATTTTATAAATTCATTTTTACGGCCAAGTTCTGAAATCAGTTATCTGTTACATAAAAGTGCTATAATTGTAAAAATGTGATATATTTATATGAAGCAAAATCTAACAGACAAGATAAAAATAGGAAAAATACTTTTTATAAATATTAGCATAAAACCATGAAACTTTATCATTTGAAATAAAAAATTTTACATTCATACTTTGATAATTTATGCATATTACTTCAATACATTCGTAATTTTCTTTAATATAATAATTAACTTTTTAATAAAAAAAAAGCTAGTCTTCTTTTTAAGAAAAGTATTTTTAAAGCGAAAGTGGCTTCTTGTTCTAATAAAAAAAAAAAACTTCATTCAAATTAATTTCCTCAAAAATCATATGAATAAATATCATCAAATACTCAATATGAAACTGTCCTTAGAACATTATAAATTAGCGTATATAGTTATCATTTACTATTTGAATACAATATATGAGCTCAAATCCATTAAAATAAATAATATATATTAAATATATTATCCATAATACATTAAAATAAAATAATAAAATTTCTGAAAATGAAATAATTTTAAAGACGTATTAAAAATTGAAAAGAATAATGTTTTTTTAATGAAACGATGACCAAAGACATACATTACGCCAAAAGTAATTCAATTAAATAGATTAATTTTGCACAGTTTAAATTAGAATCTATGCAAAATTATAATAAAAAATTTAACTTTTATCTAATAATAAATTACCTCTGGTATCATTTCTTCTAATTGTGAGATATTCATTTTATTAAACGCGTGCTCATCTTCTAACGAACTATTTTCATTAGAGGTTTCATAACTTTCATCTCTTGATATCTATTTCAACAAAAATGTTTTTATATATATTAAAAACATTTTAAAAAATAATATAACCGAAAGAAATATAGTGAAAAGAAATTTTTATTTACATTAGCAAAGGCTATTTCGAACTCCATCATGTCTTCTACATCATTCTTAGCAACCATTTCATCGGCTCCCAACAGCCTCGCTGTTTCTCTAATTAGTTCTTTATACGATTGTAAATATCTGGAATAGTTCGGATCCGAATTGTTCAGATAGTATTGCATACTCAATACTGGAGAACCGGAAATTACCTATCGAAAATTTGAATTTAGTTTAAAATATAAAATAACTTCATAACATTGTGTGCAAATTTTCTTACATGAAGTAGATAAACGGAAGAATTTCTATCATCTGGTGCAACGTAAGTATGCAAAAAAGGTTGAGCTTGATGAACGTGTAAGAGAGCCAATCGCCATTCTAAATCTATATCTGTTTTGTTCCAATTAGGATCGAGTATTGGCCATTCCCCTACTCCCGAAGACGACAATAAACTGAGAAGAATTGAAACAGAATCGTCTTCTACGCTACCTGTAATAATCAATAAATTAGATTCTGTAGATGAGTAATATAAAAACATATTTATTATACAAACTCTCAAAAAAGTATAATGAGTGATTCAAATTAAGTTTTTCATAATCAAAGATTTAAATACCGTAAAGGCAATAATAGGTAAATGTCATAATTTTAAATACTATTTCATTTGTGATAATTAAATTTATTTATTCAAATGAAAACATAGCAGAGAAATTTTTGTGTGTTGATTAGTAAATAAAATGCCTTTTTATAAATCTTTCTGTAGAAAAAGAATTTATCAGCAGAATTGGAATGCAGCCGGAAAAAAAAAGAAACAGTACGCCAGAGAATATCACAAAGTTTTTCTTATTTAAATACCCAGAATTTCCAGTAAGTTTTGAGCATTTCAAAAATCTTTTCTAATATCCTGCTCGCATTTTCAGATTTTCTAGAATTAAAATATTTTTTAACATAGCAATTTAAATATAATTTCGCTAAAATAATTTTCTAAAATAATACAACGGAAGTTATAAATCGGAGATGAAAAAGGACTCAAGGTTATATGAAACGTTATATAATACAGGTATCCCTATGACAAATATATATCTATGACATAAATCCCGATATATAAATATATTTGTAATAGCATACATAACTATTTTGATGTCCCCCAAAAAATAAATAAAATAAAATAAATTTTTAAATAAGTTTTCTACATGATAAAAAAATTATTTAAAAATTTTCTGCAAATATATATTGTCTATTGTAATTTTATTAAATTGCTTTTTGATATAATCCAATTGCTGGAATTTAAGCGCTTAGAGGAATGTGCAATCATTTCATTCTTACGTTATCGAACGAATACTTTGATACTGATATTGAAACATTCGATTCAGAGTTCGAGGACTATCGTGATTTTAGTTTAAATCGTGTTTTCATTTTCTATTTTTCATCTATAACTTACCTCATGCCCATCACTAATTGCTTCTATTGACGCTACTTCTACACTTTCATTTATCGTTAAATATTATAAATCATAAAAATAAAAGGCAATCTCGTTAATATTAAAGACTATTTTATTAATTCAAAGAAATAAAAGTTAAAATATTTAAATATTCACGTAACTGTTTCCAATAAGACTTAGTATTTAAAAGTTTCACTGAATTCGAAATGTATATACAGTAATAAGAAGTAAATAATAAATTAAAATTTGAAAAAGTCACTACAAAGAAAAAATAATAATTACTTGAAGTGTAGTGTCTCATATTAAGATGTGTGACAAACACCCTTCGTCTTATAATACTGGTAATAAATAATGCTATGCAAACTAAAAGAGAACGATTATCTTATAATAAGGAAATAATTATTGTGTTTGAGTACTTTAAAACAGGAATTAATTTAAAATGAACTAAAAAGAAGGACATAAAATGAAATAAATAATTATTCATATATTCGAATATGCATGATGCGATATTTGAAAAATAGCGTAGATTCTTACAGCTAAATTTTACTGAATTTTGAAAATTTTTTATAATTATGTACTTTTATTATACCGTATATCTCGGCAGATAAGACGAGATATAAATTTTCGTCGAAGTTTTATAGTTTCAGCATATATCTGTCCTATAAGACGACCTCCAAACTATCAGCAGCCTATGAATTTAGTTTAGATCAGCGATCATCATATGAATAATAATACTGTATAGCGTATACGAAATTATGTCCTATTCGTAATTTTTTGAAAGAACTTCAAATTTTATTTTCTTGCATCTGGCAGCACGCCTTGCGATTGTTTCAAACGTTCACACTGATTCGCCATTCGGGTAATGACCTTACCTATTCACAAAAACGTCATACGGGCTATTCTATTCTGTGCACATACCCTACTCTCTTCTAGTAAATAATTACGGTTTTTCTGTCTTTTTATAATGGTTTTAATTTATATAAATTTCAATCTAATCATTTTTCTATCTGTCCTATAAGACGACCCCGGATTTTGGGGATCTTTTTTTATGATTCAACTATCGTCTTATCTGCCGAGATATACGGTAATTAACAAATCTGTATATAATCATATATAAACTATTTTTTCATATATTTTATATAAATACAAATATTTTATAGTTTTATAATTTTACTTTTAGTACTTTTTATATAAATACAATTTATGTAAAGTATTTCGGATTTTTTAAATTCTATGATAAATGTTTAACGAATAGAAATAAAAATAAACTGTAGTTAAAAAAAAAACTTTTGTCATTTTCTTTTCACTCGATTTTTAGTAGAGAATTCAGAAGAAAGTGTGCAAACCATTCCTTCCCAGAAAACCTATTTGAAATTTTATATGGTTTAATTCTTCCTCTTTAGACCACTTGAGTTATGGTCAAGTTGCTCGTTTCATACATTTAATTATCATTATGTTTATTTAATAATAATCAATAAAAATTGACTGAAGTACTGTATTTTAAAAACTATTCAAAAGAAAAACGTATAAAATTACGATTCAAATTAAAATAATTTCTCGTCATTATAATATAATTATTTTCATATTAATTATATTTTTTAATGCTTTATATTTTTCGGGTTACAATTAATATAATAATATGAAAAATTATAAAGAATTTTAAATTAAAAATTTTATATAATTTACTGATATTAATAAATTTATTAAAACAAAGATTTAATTGATTATGATATATAAATAATTTATTATTGAAATTTTAACTTATAAAAATGCTGATACATTTTATCAGAACATTTTATAAATTCATGAGGAGGTCATTCATCATAAATTAACTGATGCATATTATGTAGAGACCTTTTAATATATTAAACTTAAAAGCGATACTGATAAATTTTAATATAATATATTGAAATATATCAGATTTGAAATTTCACTCTCAAAAATATTGATGACTGTATTTACAATTTATGTTGTGAATAAAGTAATTAATGTTTTCGAAGATTTCCGTCTAAAAAATCAAATATCTTCTAACTGTATTTTATTAATTTTTGTGAAAAAATAAATCTTTAAATATTTACTTCAAACGCATTTTAAAATGCTATTTTCATTATTCGTAGCGTTGAAAAACTTTAGTAATGTTTGTTGTAAAGCATTTAAAACGTGAATGCAAAATTATATGCGTATTTAATTCTATGTATTATTATTTTGATATATATATGATGACATTCGAAATTCAACATTATATGATTATGAAAATTACATATGTCTAAATTAATTACGTAAGTTAATATTATATCGGCATTTAAATCAAATACTTTGAATTTCATAGACGGAATAACATTCAAATCTATTAAATTTCATATCACAATACTGTACATAATTTAGGCAGAGTTTCTAATATTCAACTTAATGAGTAATTAGATATTTCCAAATTGATGTTTTATTTTATTTTCACAGGAGACCACGTTTTTATACCGTTTACGTTCTTGGAAATACCAGCATATATCGAATTCAGCATAAAAGAAAGACGAATTATAATATTCTTCAATAGAATGCTGTACAGATGAATAAATATTAATTATGCCTATTTTATAAAATAATTTATAGTATATAACCCCGGTGGCCTAACTATTGCTCTTTTTGACCCTTGTTGCGGCTCCCGTATACAGGTATCCCTTGATTAACGCTGTTAGTTAATTAAAACTTCTGCCGCATATATAAAGGGATTGCCGCAATTAATTTCGTGCGTTTAATCAAATCCCGCGTTAAGCAAGGGATGCCTGTACTTATACGATTTCTTTTTATAAACTTGGTACTGTACATAGTAATAGTCAACAAACTTCCAAAAATATTATGAAATGTGATTATAAGAGTAACTCTGAGCGTAACCTTCAACAGGCAACCGAAAGCCAAGAATGGGTTTGTAAAGTCGGAGGATTTCAAAAAGTACCAGTAGAGTAATCGTGAAATTTACTATATAACAGTGATAACTATAGTATTTCAACTACACACAGTATAATATATCAATAATATAAAATATCGTTCCAATAGAGAATGCGACTCTCACAAATTTCTGATAGGTAATAATATAAGGCTTCTATCGTGATAGTGTTTGGCTACCCCTCGTATATAATGTGATATAAATGTAATATAAGTTATATACATATTACATAAGTTATATATTTATAATGTAATATACATTGTAAATAGTATGAGTATTATATTTATATCACATTTATTCTGTAATGAAATAGGGATAAGTATATGTTACCGATGATAAAAAAGACCATGACTGTGGAGCGTTAGGATCGACTGGATCGTCATCTGTGATACTTCATCAGTTTCTTTTTAACATAAAAAAAGAAAGTGTTTTTCTTTTCTCGTTTCTTGCCTCCCCGCTGCAGAACATAATAAGGTTGCAACACTTTATTGACTCCTTTTAATAGAAAGCGCCGCTCCCGGTCATGATCAATGCTGCTTAACTTCTTCAGGCACCCATTAATAGTAACCAGAATATCCTGTTGATCATCGGATTCTTTAGATCGTAAAACGAGTTCTTATTTTTTCTGCTGACGTTTTCAATTCAATTGTGCAAACAACCCTCCAGTTTCTCGATTATAAAACTAAGAATAGTTTTCCGACAACCATTAGCATTATCAGGCTCAACGTTGTCAAGCAACAATTCAGAGCAATTGCGACGACTTAAAAGTTCCTAGAAATTTAAAGTGCAGTACTAATATAACACATGAATCACTAACATATTAATTATAATTTTTAAATAAATTTACTATTAAAAAATCCACTATGCACACAAGAATGGTATTACATTGAGAATGATAGTACACAATACACATACCTCCAAATGCGGCTTTGCCATATTTCTGACAAACACGTTACACTTAAAGCAAGCACAATATAGAATTTTCCAGAGTTTTTGAGAAAGCAAAGAAATTACTAGAAAATTTTAGATCCGGTGAATATTCAAATAGACGAACTGTATGTAAAAGGAAGGTCCACCATATATATTATTACTTGGATAAATTATACTCAGTTATATTTACCGAATATATTTTAAAATATCGAATAAATATAGAAACATTGTAATGTTACTTACTCGTATTCATGCACGATGAGTACAAAGTTTTTGCTTTAGCAATAGCTTCACTGTCATTAACATTGATTGATTTTTCAATTAATTCTGTTAAAAAATAAAGTTATAAATAAATTATGTAATTATAAAATAAAAAAAATTAAGTAAAGAATCATATTAAAATATATCTTCTACATTTTTACTCTTTTCCCTTTGAAGATACTAAGTGGGTCATTTTCAGGCCCGTCGTGGGTTCTATAGGGCCCATAATAAGACCTTATCGAACCCACTCGGGCAGGGTGGTAAGAGACGGGACCCGATATATCCGGGACAGACCACCCAAAAAAAATTTCTGGGTGTTTTGAATACACTGAATCGATCTCAGATCCAAAGCAAAGTATAACATACTGTTTCAAATCTCAAACTTTGTGCGAGCTTTAAAAAATTACTGAAAATCAAAAATTAAAAATATTAAGCTTTTAAAGTAACATTTTCTTCCAATTATTCCCTTAATATAATTTCAAATGCCTAAATATTTAAGATTATTCTAAGCATTTAATATTAAAAATAATATTTTACTTTTGTTGTTTATTTTTTAAGTATAAAATATATAATTTTGATTTTATTATATTTTACAATCTGCCAATCTACCGTTCTTACAGTTTATTAAATTATCTTCATGAATCAAATATATATCACTAAATTCGTTTGATGAATTTCTTTATAATTTAATTTATTATTTTAGAAGTAATCAATATTTTTAAATATAACTTAACGCATATTATTATTTTTCTCAATAATTAATTTGGAAGAAATTTATAAATATGATTTAAATTGCATCACCACAATTTTCATAAAAGTAAGATAAAAGGTATCCTTATTAACGTTACTTATTAAGTACTATAATAAAATCAATTTACAGGTAAATTATCAATAATTAAAGTTAAAATAAAACGCTTTCACAATATGTACAAGAATAGATTTTCGTTTTAAGTTTAAAAATATATTTTTAAATCAAAACTGAATTTATAAAACTACATTCGTATGTAGGTATCACTCGCATTTGCAACACAATTCCTTTTTATTTTTATTTACAATTCTTTTTCTCCATTATAACATATTCTGAAAAAAGCGAGAATAGAAATTTGAATATCATAATTTGCCTAATTTTTTATGAAATGCATTCAAATAAAGTTTAGAAAGAATATATTTGAATAAAGACTGGTCATTTAATATTAAAATAATCAGTTATCTATTCGAATATTTTCTCTTAACTTTATTTGAATGCATTTCGTAAAATATACAAAATATAAAGTTCAGTTTTCTATTAATGTTCCTCTCTCACTATAAAGCTCTATATACTTATTTAAAATTTGGATAATCTAAATTCTGTTAAAAATTATTACAATTTTAGATTTCTATTTTCGTAAAATATCCAAGTTTAACTACTGATGAACTTCGAAATTTATTAATGATACAATTAAGCTATATACAGTATACTAAAACGGTTTGTAATAAATGATAAAATTCAAATGATGGATGACGTTAATTTGAAAATTCAATATTAGCATTATTATAATTATAATTGATGCAATTGTCTAACATGAATATATATCACATTTTATTTTACATGCCAGATGCTTGCTATCAATAATAAGTGCTTTACGTTCCTTGTCATTTCAAGTTTTTCTTTAATTTGCGATTAAAATTTCGTCTTTCTGAATAAATTTTTATGAAATATGAAACGAATAATATCTTCGAAACTTTGTCAATATTTCTAATCAAAATTAGTTATTCGTGTTTAAATATCGATAACAATATGAGTTGTAATTCTTATAAACAAATGAGTTTTAAAATCGCAGAAATATTTTAAAAAATTGTTTTGTTTTGATCACCTTGCATCTACAAAATTCAAAATAAATTTCTAGAGAAAAATAAAATTATGCGTAAAAGAATTAATGCATTTAATGTTGTAATATGTATTTAAGACGATCGCGGCCATTTTAAATTTTATAATAAATAACGGGAAGAGTTGCTGTATGCAAAAAATTCTTGTTCCATGATACTTCGTATCAGTATCGACCGTAAACGGAGTCTCGCATAAAGCATCAACGTTGATTATTGCAAACACCATGACTCCATGACCGTTCAGAGAAAATATATATTTTACTTTATGATGTTTTAGATGTTGTCGAAGAGAAGTTGAGAAGCGATTCGATGTTTTCGGTTCTCTAATCAGGAAAATCTTTAAAAAAATTTGCTGGAAAAATTGTTATGAAGAAAAACTTTTTCTGTCTTAACGTTAATTTACATTGTCAAATGTGAAAGTTATATGCATTCATGATTTAAAAGTTTCAAAGAGCAAGAAAAATTAAGATTAAAAAAGTATTTTTTTTATGAAGAAATTGCAATAAACTAAATTTCTCGGTAACTTCCATTAGATTAAAACATGTTAATCGAGGCTGATAATGATGAAGATGGTGATGTAGCACCATCTTTATATATTAACAAATTCGAAAACTTATATAAAATCTTAATTAGAGATTTCTAATGTTTCCAAGAAAATTATTATTATTAGATTTTACAAGATTATTACTATCGCGAATTTTTTTCTTTCTTATAGGCCTACTGATTATTATTTTTAAACATTTTTAATGCTTAATGAAGCATGAATACAGTATAGGCCTACACTCTTGCTAATCTGACACCTCTTTGTGTAAGGAATTAACGGATTAACAAGAATGTAATGCATATTCAAAATATTTTAAAATAATATTATTAAAAATATATTAAATTCATTTTTTCCAATTATTTCAACTAGATTACGCAGAATATTTGCGAAACTTCTAAAATACAAATTACCGCAAATTTTTCTTTCAAATTTTTGAATATAGATTATTTTCTTTGCTAAAATATACGAGTTTAGCTTAGAAATCGTATATACTATATGTATATGTCGTATTATTTTGCAGTCGTAGTCGTAAGGTCGAGTGTAGGTTGAACAAGACAAAGAAAATTGGAGACCATAAAATAACACGTCCGTTCACTTTCGGGTCCTCACTCGAACTCCCCTTATTTTATTGGTGCTGTTAACCTCATTCCAAAAGGGACGAGATTAACAAAGTAAAATACAGAAAATATATACAAAATTTACAAAATTTTAAATATGTTATATATATATATATATATTATATAACACTTGACTTAAAATATTTAAGACTCATTTTTGCATCACGGGGTATATATATATATATATATTATATAACACTTGACTTAAAATATTTAAGACTCATTTTTGCATCACGGGGATAAAAAAAAGGAACGGCTGTACTGGGACTTAATGACTCATCACGAAATTTTTGTTATGAATAGACTACATTACGAACAAATGAGTGAAGTCCATGGATGAATGAGCGAACGAGCGGGATCCGCCTATGGGAGAGGTGCTTCTATTTTTTCGTTAGCCTACGGCGGTCAGGAAAAAAATATAAACGGAGGCACCGAAAATCAATAAATTGTCACGAAATTGTTAAACAAGTAGGCGAAGACCGTGGGGTGAACGAGAAAAGCGTGCCATGTAACAATGGAATCTGAACATTTTCTATGGGACGTTAAAACAATAGTGATGTTCGACCAATCCGGAAAAAAAAAATGGTTTTTGTTCAGAAATCTGAAGGTTGTTCTATGTTTCGATTTTGATGGAGAAAATCCGAAAGGAAAGTGTTTGTGAGGTTTGAAAAAAGCTGTGTTTTTCCTATTAATTTGAGTGTGGAGGTCAATTTTGAAATGGATCTGAACTTGGGAACGTTAGAGAATCATCACTAGAAGTGAGGATCAAATTTTACTAATGCTTTCGCATAAAAAACATTTAGCAGTGAGTTGGATAATCTTCTCGGTAAAAAAGTTAAAATTATGTGGCACCATCTGTTATGAGATTTTATTTTTAAAACTTTTTATATTATTAATTATTATAAAATGGCAAAAAGCTTAATTTTAAGAGTGAGACAAGTTTTATTTTAAAAATTGTAAATGTTAATAACGAGTAAAATCGTCATTAAGTCCGATCCTACTGGAGATACACACGACCCCCTCTATCTCCCCACCCCTCGACCTTTAACCACTAAAATTTAATAGCATCGATGCCTCTAATACACAAACATCCTTGCAAAATTTCAGAAATTTTAGACAAGTTATTAAGCTTCAAAGTGGGTGAACAAAATTGTGCTTCCCCACACACACTAACATCTATACATACAGGAAAAAAACCCTCTCAACTCTACATTTCTCCACGTTCCAATTCCCGTGTCCAAAAATGTAAAAATCTAGGGAAGATCATTTTTTGACCGATCATCATACTTTTCCTCTGTTATGTATAACAAGCAAAATAAAGGAAACAAACGAAATCGTTGTTCGGATAATAAGTTAAAAGTCCTTCGACATCAAAATCACCAGCCAAAACATACACAGTACGTTCGAACAGATGGGAAAAACTATAAATAATATTACAAGAAGAACGGGGACTATCAACATCAAGAGTGATAAAAAAACTGTTTCTACCATTAATATGTAGAATATACATAGATAGCTCTACGTGCATGACTAAACAATGGCCTATCAAGATGTAGATAAGACTAATATCGGAATTTAAAGAGAAAGTAAAATTTAAAATGTTTAGAAAATAGTTATACTAAAAAAATGATTTTTTTTTCATTAAAATTATTATTAAAGTTTTTATTAATAATAGTCTATATTGGGAACAAGAGGGCGAAGTGGGCAGAAGGCTTCGCCCTTCAGCTCATATTTACAAACTTTTTCACTTACGTTTAACCAATGTACACTTAAATTTTATAAAAAAATTCTCAATCGACATTTCAATTAATTTATAAATCTATTTGTATCATAATTATTATATTAAATATTTAATTACGCTATTAAATTAATAATAATATGACGATTTCTATTAAAATCAGTAATTTAATAATTTACATTCGTGTAGCTATTTCGATACACGAATATAAATTACATATTATAGAAATGTTCGTACCGCGAGGCTAGAACTCGTACAAACATTCCGCCAGAAGAAAAATATTTGAATGTAGATAAAAATCAAAATAAACAAAGTTCTGTAATTGGTGATTCATCCATTTGTTTAATTTTAATTTGCAATTTAAACATGTTTAAATTGCACTAATGGAATATTTTTACATTTAAATGAATCAAAATTTTTTATAATCCTCTATTCTCACAATTAAAAAAATTAAAATGCCTTCAAGGTGAGATGATACCGCATTAAAATAAATATTGTATTCATATAGAATAACTACTGTAACTGTTTGTTTTAATGCAACATTAGAATATCGTTTTGAAGACATTTTTAATTAATATAAAAAAAAGAAGTATTAGAATTAAGCACTCATTACCAGCTAAGCTCATTTGAACTGATGTGACAGTTCAGTAACACAGCCGAAAGTGCTTTCAAATGTAAGATGCCATCGATTCTAAGAGCTTTTCATCTAACAACTAAACATTATACATCTTAAAATCAAAAATGAAAATATCGTATTTAAAAATTGAACAAAAAAATAAATAAATTTAAGGCTTTTTAATACGAAAACAAAATCCCGAACTAATATATAACTATTAAAGACCATCAAACAAAGAAAATGAACTTGGTAAAGGATTATAGAATTTATATTAAAAGAAAAAAAATTTTAACTGTATTACAAATCAATTAACCACGCGACAGATTCGTAGTATATTAGTTTATAAATAAATTTTATATAAAAGTTGCTATTTTCTTTATTAGGCTATAAAAATTTTTCAAATAGCTTAAAATTCGATATAGTTATTTGCCGTTTTTCGTAGTAAACTGAGTGTTTACACGGCCTATTTGCATATAGATCTGTATAATGAAATCATCACCATAAATTACGATATGTAAAATTTTCTACAACCCATTTCTATAATTATACTAAATAATAAATGAATGAACGTTTATAGGCAAGAATAATTGATACACCAATTATTTGAATGAATGCTCGAGATCGAAAATAATAAATAATAAATTTTGATCTATCTAAAAATGAAAATAATTTCAAATGTCAAGAATATTTTAAAATACTTAAACGTAAAAAAAGAAAATTAAAAAATGCGAGCTCGAAAACGATACCGGGGATGTAACCCGATGCGTCAGGTTGCGTTGTGACGCACCCAAGAGAAAAACTTTACAATAATTTCCGTTTGTGATATTGGATCAATATGTTTTGTCATACGTGGAGAATTTTTTAAGCTAAAATTGTTTTTATTTGTTTATCTTTTTAGATAGATAGAGAGTGACTTATACACGAACATCATTTTAAATCTAATCAAATCGTGTTCGGAAAGAATCCATCATCCCTAACGTTTTTTTTTTATTTGTTATCGGTTCATCCAAAAATCGAAATAATGTTAGCGATAGGCGATTTATAAAAGAATATAACAATAACATTTGCTTTAAAATTGCGATATTCAAAATCCTTGGTCCAAATATTTCTTTCTATATTTCTGCTTCGTTGACTGGAAACTATGAAATTTTTTATAGTTTAACCTCAAAGTTCTTAAGACGAGCATTTGGTCACTGTTATAATACGTTTTTTTTAGAAATAACAAACGTAATTTCAAGCGAAATTGTGTGTTTACATTTACAACAATAACTCAAGATTATAAATAAGATTTTTTAAATTTTTATCATTCATAAATTATCAATTAAGATCTAAATTTTCTCGTATTATACTTTTTATAAAAGTAATTGCTTACTTGGCTATTAATTTTACAGTTTAACTTGCAAATAATTAATTTTAACATCTTCAATGTACTGTACATTATAAGATTAATTTTCTATTAACATTACTAACAATAAACTAAACATTTATCTTAAGTTTCTATAGAACTTAGTTTCTTGTTGGAATATTAAAATATTTAATTTAATGTAAAACAAAAGACAAAGTGAAAGCACGAATATAAACAAATTTTAAACGCATTAGTTTCGAGTAAATTCAAATGACACGAATATTACTGTTAAGTGTTTGTAAATGATACATACAAAAGTATCGTTCGAAAATTCCTTCTCGTCCTTTACAAATTGTTATCAAATACTTTATATAATACAGCTATTATATACCAAAAATTACTATTTAACGCACATCTCAGCTATAAAATTCTTGATGAAATAGTGGGATTTAATAAAATTAAAACATAAAAGGAGAAAAATTTGAAATCGCAACTTGCACTAAACATAATAAAAATAACAGAATTTTATAAATATTTCGTTTATAATGAATATACGCCTTTAAAAGTTGTGTTTTACAGACATTTATTTGTATCTATATATTGTCAGAAAATGTTTCTATAGCCTATATTTTAATAATAGGATGCATTTTCTTGCTTTACCCAGGGCAATTTGCAATTTGAAAAAACTGTAACCTATTTCTCACTGTCGTCATTCTGTCTTTCCTTAATCTGGAGAACGGAATTAGATAGATAAAAGTCGAGACCAGATATGGAAAGCTTAGGGACATGAGATCCCGATTAACTACATACGAACTTACAATTCAAACCGAAAGTCACGTTATTTTAATTCAAAACATTTCCCCCTTAAAGGAGTTAATAGATGATTGGCATGACTCTGTTGATAGCAGGAAAAGTATGATGTACAGGGGCAGCGACAAGACTACTAATTTGGTGTGGAGAGCATATATTTTAAATTAAATAAAAATATATAATTAAAAAGTGCAGCCCGGCATTGTGACGATAAATAAATAATTGCTAATTCCAATTAAGATTAAAACATCGAAATTATACATAAAAAAACTAAATTAAAGAGATATTTTTTTAAGTGTTAAAAATGTAGATGAAGATACTAGTTTAAAATTTTAGAAGAAGCACTTATCTTAAATTACCGATTATTCCATTGCGAGAGATCTAATATCAAATACGAATAAATTTATTTAATATTTTATTACGTTGAGATTATATATTAGTTCCGATTTCAAGATAAATTCTATAAAAGATAATTTTAATCATTTATATATGCAGAGAATTTTAAAGTTTATTCGTTTAGAAAATTTTTTAAAATATTTAATTAAAACAAATTTGTTAATTAATCCCGTAATTACAGATAACATTTTCGTTTAAACCAGACAAGATTTTAATTATTATCTCTGGTTAAAATTCTGGACGAAACACTTAAACAAAATGGATTTAGGCGTTTTATTTCAGCCATTAGAAAGTATGATTAATAGTTCCTTCGAGGCAAAAAGTCAAAACTTCCTGAAATCCTGTTAAAAAGCATAATTTAAAAAATAGAGAACATTTTTCATGTTAAGTCAAAAATTTTAAATAATAATAATAATTAGTCCGAACGAAAACACGCCTTTACAATGTTAATTATTCGTAACATTAAGTTAAATGATGACATAAATTACAGAATTTAAATTAAGATTAATAATATTTTAACATTATAACAAAATATTAGATTCATTATCAAAGTTTCGTAAATAAATTGAATGAAGATACAAATTTCTGTAATAAAATTAGCTAAATCAATATAATTATAATATTCTGTTAATTTAAGCCAATATTTGCCAAGATTTTTACATATTTTTATAATAAAAATTAAAAAAAAAAACTGATCTCGCGATGCTATTTTAAAACTTTCATTTTAAAATTACTGTTTTTTAAATTCGAATATTCTAGCTTTAAATCTCACTAACATTGATTAATCTAGAAATACATCGTAAATTTAGAGATTTCTACATTATTAATTAGAATATTCTAATTTTAATAGCATCAGCTTAGTATTATTATTATACATGCAAAATACAGGAACGAGATAAAAATTTAAATTTAAAATGAATGTTTTAAATTATTTTTATTTTATGGTAAGCTGCACTAAGTGATTTAGTGCAATAATATATAAGTAATAGTTTTATTGTATAAAAAATTATATTTTAGACATAAAGATGACATTCATTGAACCATTGTATAAATTGAAAAATTTTATTTTATTTTTTTTTGTAATAATTTTAAGCTTTTTGAACATAAGATTACAAAATTTATTTCTTAATGCAGATCAGATTATTATTTTTTATCTCTATAAAGAACTTTATAAGTTTACTTTATGTATTTTTTGTATATTTTTGTAGATTCAAATCCTTTTGAATATAATAACAATACAACTAGATCTATTTTACTCGGTGCTTTTAGTGAATCTTTACATTGATAAAATTTTATCTTAGTTATAAACTAACTTATAGAAAGTTTATGTCGTTAAATTCTTCGAAAAAATAGCATTTCCATTTTTATAATCTTACACAGATGTAAGAATTTGTATGATAAACTTTATTTGTATTTTGAATAATTTTTTTTTCTTTTGCATATATTTAAGTTATATGCACTGAATTTAATTTCACTTAAATATGCAAAATATTTTAAATGAAATTATAAGCATTAATTTAATGAGAAATTGTTATTAATTTCTTATTGTTAACAATTAAACATTTTTAATAATTAAAGCTTTTAAAGGCTTTAATTATTGTTATTGATATTATATAGTAGGTTAAATAAAAATTAATTTAAAAATATTTGTATACAATGAATAAAAATTAATTTATATTCGAAATTCCTTTGAAAGTTGAGGAGATTTTTTAATAGTAGTAGCGTTATTCTTATCATAAAATTCTTATCTCATTACATAAAAAGAATTTAACGCGCATTTTAACCCTTCAGGTAAGAAAAATTTGATTAAAAATAATAAAATAAACAATATAATCACGAACTAACTAAGAGGAAATTAGTTTAATTTTCTACCCGATAAAAATAAAGAAAAAAATTAATTAAGTTTATCTGATTACAGTAATTATATTCTTCGATATGTTAAAAGAACGTAAACAACACAAAAGGTAGAAATTTTAATTTTGAAAATTAAGTCTTGTTATCGATAAATCTTGTAAATATGATATTGTCAAAGGGAATCTTAACCCAATAATAGAATCATAATGAGGTTGCTACACAATTGGATTGAGTAGAGATAATTTCATTGGGGATTTCGTTATCATCACCTATCGAGTTCTCGTCTCGTAGGAACTCGTGTAACAAAAGTGTTAAGCGTACTTAGTATTAGTAAACATCTTTCTAAAATGCAATAATTAATAAAATAAACTCAACTTTATATACTAAATCATACATTAATTATAATTGACAATAAATATTTAACTTTCGGGTTTTTAGTTATTATTTCTAATAAAAAAAAATTATGATGTGTTATTAGTTAAATCCGAATGAAAAATAATAAAAATAATTATTTAATTTTTGTTTTTACATTAGTTTTAAAACAATTAGCCTACTTGTTTTGATTGATTCGGAATTTCTCTCACTTGTAGCACTTGATATCGATTGAATTTAACACTTTCATCAACCGTCCTCTCCAAATATGGAATTTTCGAAAAGGTAATTAAATTTTCAAACTAATTTATCCACTTAAATTTAATTTAATTGCGTAAGTCTTTTTTTTTAGCATTAAACAAAATTTGTGTGTATTATCAATTTATTGATTTAAACGAAAGTGAAGGAAAAACGCATTTTATTATCATTTTTTAATTAAAGATAAATAAATTTTTTCATAACTTAAAGATTGAAAATATTTAAATCTCTCGAGTTATAATCAAAAATTTATTTATATTAAA